TATCCGCGGCTTTATCTTCAACAACGCCTCGCTCTCCGCCCGCGCCGGGGAAACAGATGGGGGTTTCTGTCTGGGACGCTCGCCCCATGTTTATATTTTGGGAAGAATCGCAACTCGTGGGAGTCCCCGGCGGGCCCCCTGATAAATGAACATTAGCACTTTTTCGGACTACTGTATCAACAAAGGGGCTGCGGCGCGGCAATAATTGGCGAGAAAGCAAACAGAGGGCCGAGAGCGCGCCTCTGCTCTTCGTCCGGCTGATGGATGAGCAGCGGCGGCTGCGGCCCGGCTCCCGGCCCTCAACCCGGCTCCCCGCTCTGGCCGCGGGGCCCCTCCGCTGCCCTAGCTTCCTTCCGGGCCTGGGGTTGGGGGCGGGGGACGACTCTGAGGGCTACCGCTCCTGTCCTTGGCTTCCGAAGCGTCCGGGAGGCCCTCCGCGCCACTGGATGCTTCCTGCAGGGGGGCGCGCCTCACGCTGGTGGCTCAGCCCGGATCAAATCCTGGTTTTGCTGCTGTTTCTAGAGCTCTCACTGAGTGAGGCACACGATCTCCAGCGCTGGGCAGAGGAGAAAGAGGCTCAGAGAGGTGCCCTGACTTGCTCAACGTCCCACAGATGGAACGTGACAGTGCTAGGATTCGGACGCAGGACTCACTACAGGATTGTGCATGTTTTCTTTTATTGCACGTGGCTGCCTCCTAGAGTCACATCAACTGGAGAGGAAGCAAGACGCTGTCCTCCCCACCCTCGTTCACACACACACACTCGGACAGCTGGAGAAGAGGACCAGGCTGATGCAGGGTTGCCCGAAAACCTTCACCGACGAGAGGGAGGGGCTTCCTTCAATAACATTGGCTGAGAGAGAAAAAGAGAGGGAGAAATTTAAGTCCCCTCCTCCTCTTCCTCCTCCTCCTCTTTGGTAACACCTTCATTGAGATTTAATAGATATTTAATCATATGCCATACAATTCATCCCCTTAAAATACACAATTCGGTGATTTTTTTAGTATAACCACAGAGCTGTGCAATCATCATGCAATTAATTTGGGGACATTTTCATCACTCCCAAAAGAGACCTGTAGGCTTTAGCCATCAGCCTCAACCCTCTCCCCCATCTCCTACCCTCTCAGCTCTGGACAACCACAAATCTGTCTACCTTCTGTCTCTAGAGGTTTGTCTATTCTGGACATATACAAATGGAATCATTTTAAACGTGGCGTTTTGTGACTGGCTTCTTTCACTTAGCATAATGTTTTCAAGGTTTACCCATGTTATAGCACGTACCAGTATTTTGTTCTTTTTTATGGCAGAATAATATTCTATGGTATGGATATATACCCATTGTTTCTCTATGCAGCAGTTGGTGGACATTTGGGTTGTTTCCACCTTTTTGCTATTATGAATAGCATAACTCCCAGCTCACTTTACCCTAAAATCTAGAGCTTTAGAGGATGGAAGTCTCTTCTCTCCTCTCCCTTGATACTTAACCCTGTCCTTCCATGAAGACTGGCCTAGAAGGCCCTGTGCTCTGCTGATGTTGTCTTGAAATTCTTGATAAGTTTTGAACAGAAGCACTACATTTTCATTTTGTACAGGGCCCTACAAATCATGTCGCTGGTCCTGTATCTGGGCAGTCTGAACAGAGCCCTGGAAATGCTATCTTCATGCTCCCCTATAATCTGTCTGGCTTTTGCCCTCGGATCAGCCTCTGCTAGCTAGCTAGGACAGGCAGGAAGTCCCCTGAAGTGCTTTAAGGGCTGTCTGTCCGAAATTGCTTAGCCATAGGAAGGGCCTGAGGCCCACAGAAGGGGGAAGCAGAGAACAGATCTACCTGGCTGGTGGATATTATGTACATCTATGTATGAGTGTATGAGTGTATCTCTCTGCAGGGGGGCGGAGGGAGGGCAGGGAGGGGAAAAGCTAAAAGAGAGGGCCAGAATATCCCGCCCCCCCCCCCCCCCCCCCCCCCCCCCCCCGCAGCCTCCAAGTGACTCCCAGCCTAGTCACTATGGGATGCTGGACGTGATTTCCTGCATCTTTTCACCCACATTGACTGGGTGCCCCCCCCCCCCCCCCGCACCAGATGCTGGGATTGCACAGCCCAAGTCACACAGACTCTGAAGGATGCAGAGTTGTACCAGAAAGAGTACCGGACCATGAACCAGTACTAGGTTCTGGTCTTGCCTCTCTCACTGATTGGCTGACCCTGAGCACATCTTTTTTCCCCTCGCTGGTCACCAGTTTCATGGTTTTCTTTTTGGTGTTATTAGTTGCACCTAAGGTCCCTCCTCAGCTGTGCTGTTCTGGGAAGCATCCCAGGTTGTTAACTGGACTCACCTGGGCAGTGGGTCTGGTGACAAGGCACGTTGGTGATTGTGAAACTGGTTAAGATGGGAAATAAGGTCCCTGCCAATTGTGATGTTACACTATTTGAGGGAGTGTAGTACACATTTAAAATAAAGTGAAGTGGTGTTAGAGAGAAATGGATTATTCTTACACCAAATACTTTCAATTCTGGAAAGATTAAACATTTAGACATAAGAATCGAAACATAAAAGTGCTATAGATGATTAAGATAATAATTTTGGAGTGTTTGTATATTTGGGAGGGTGGATGAGGAGAACTAGAGATCTAGAAACCATAAAAATAAACTATATAAACCTGATGGCATAAAAAGAAACTTGTGCACAGCAAAAACAAAAAGAAAACATAAATAGAATCAAAGAGAAAAAACATACAGGCTAAATACTAGAAATAATGACAACAAAAAACTAATTTCCACCATATGGAAAGAGTTCCTGTAAATCAATAAGAAAATGACTCAAGAAAACAATTGAAAAATTGACCAAGAGTAGGAGAACGTTTCTGATAAAACGGAAGAAAGAAAGAAAGAAAGAAAGAAAGAAAGAAAGAAAGAAAGAAAGAAAAAGAAAGAAAGGCAAATTAAAACACAAAGAGGCAAATGTTTTCACTTGTCAGACTGGCAAAGATCAAAAAGTTTGATAATTACCCTTCTTAGTCTCTCTTTTGCATTGTTGATTAGAAATGTAAATTGAGGGGCGCCTGGGTGGCGCAGTCGGTTAAGCGTCAAACTTCAGCCAGGTCACGATCTCGCGGTCCGTGAGTTCGAGCCCCGCGTCAGGCTCTGGGCTGATGGCTCAGAGCCTGGAGCCTGTTTCCGATTCTGTGTCTCCCTCTCTCTCTGCCCCTCCCCCGTTCATGCTCTGTCTCTCTCTGTCCCAAAAATAAAATAAAAACGTTGAAAAAAAAATTAAAAAAAAAAAAAGAAATGTAAATTGATAAATCTCTTTGGAATAATTTGATACTATCAAAATAAAAAAAGGCATAAGCCCTTTGGACTAGTATTCCCACATCTAGGACTCTATTTTACAGGTATATGCAAACAAGAAAAGTAGTTTTTGTTGCAGTTTTAATCTTTTAAAGAATCAAAACATTAAACAAACCCAATATGTTGACCTTAGGGGAATAGTTAAAAACAAGTTATGTTTCAGCAGTAGAACAGAATACTAGCAGCCATGAGAAATAGTTAGTTACGTTTATATGTATCTCTATGGATATATTTTGAGGTACATTAAAAATCAAACCTGGTGGCAGAATTTGTATTTTATAAATGGCCATATGTACATATATGCAGTTATGTGGATTTTTTTGGAAGGATAAAGAAAATGGTAATGAAAGCTTCTGGGGAAGAGAACAGGGGGAGCGGGGTCAGGAAAAAAATGACATTTTCCGCAGTACATCTTTTAGGACAATTTCTTTCTTTTGTTTTTTGTTTTCTTGTTGTTCACCATAAGCATGTGTTGCCTTAAAGAGATTTTTAAAACCACAATCAAGATAAGCCCCAAATGTAGTGAATAAAGTAGTAACCATCTAGGCTAGAATCTCCTGTGGCACATGTTGAAAAAATGCACATCTCTGAGCCTTCCTCCTGACCTTTACTAATCAAAGGTGTGTACAGTTTGACACAGGCAGCCCAAGTAGCAATCCAGTGAGATCTCCATGGAGGGACTGGAGCTCAGCCATCAGCAGTTAGAAATCTGAGTCCGGTGGTCTGCAGAGCCCCAGAGACAGGGGAGTGGGACGGACTTTGTCCCACACTATCCAGGGACAGAACCTCAATGGTCCTGACCGCCACCAGCAAATGTGCTCTCATGATGTGCCCCTAACCTGTCCCAGCAGCAGAGCCAAGTCTTGGGGTCACGGAGAATGCAGCCCCCTCACATTACTCAGTGCACTGGCTCGCTGGTTGAAGGTCCCGTGGGTCGTTGGCTGAGTGGGACAGCAAATGAAGTGGGCTGGTGGACTTGGTAACCCCACCCAGGCCCTGTCCCCCGGCCAGCTAGTTTTCCTGGCCCCTGGTCTCTGGCCCACTGTCCATCTGTCTCTTGAGGGACAGCCTCCAAAAACCTTTCTGAAATAGCTCTGAATCCGAACCAGATCTGGAATCTATCCTAACAAGGCCAAGTGACTTTCCCCTATCTTCCAGGGCAGTAAGTGGAGATATTTCATACCTAGTTCCCCCAAACAGAGGTGGGACCCTTGCAGCTACTGGTCCCAGACAGGCTGTGGGTTTGGTGGACTCCCATCTCTCCGGCCAGGAGGCCCCCTGCCCTCCTGCTTAGCCTTTGGGCGGCTCTGCTTGCCCCCCAGGCAGGTCTGGAGCCCTCGTGGTTTGGCCTTCCCTCGGCAACACAGCCGGTTTCCTCCTCTTTGCTCTAAGCGGGATAGCGCACTGCTGCTCCTGCTGCTCCGGGAGGCGGAGGAAACCCTCCCTCCTGCTCCTGTGGCTTTCTGTCGCGTGCTTCCGTGGCCGGCCTGCCCTGAGAGTCCTCAAGGAGATGACAGCCACTCACATCACACATAAGCACCGGAAAAGTTCTGGGTGTTCATTTTTCGTTGGTGTGCTAAACATACGATCAAAACCCAAATAGAGCAAATCTGAACACTAAAGATATTGCCCCTTCCAAGATATTTTCTGGGCTTGGACAGAGCATGCTTTTTTCTTTTTTAATCCCTAAAACAGGGTGTACAAGCATCTCTGTTTTTGCATTTGTTGGTTTCTTTAACAATTGCTTTATATTCACATCACCCAACATCCTATTTATGTATTTTGAATACATATTACACCATAAAAACAATGACAAAACCCAAAACAAACAGGTGAAAAGGATGCAATGTAAAGTGTCCCATGCCTTTCCCCCAGCTACCCAGTTTCCTTCCCTAAAGGCCAAATTGTTAGTGGGTTTATTTATTTTTCAAACCACCTTTATTAAGGCATAATGTACCAAAAACAAAATGAACAGTTCAAATGTACATACGGTTCCATGAGTCTTGACACAGGGAGTAAACCCCTGTAAGGACCACCACATTCAAGATACAAATACATTTGCATCACTCAAGAAGGTTTCCTTGGGCCTCTTAATTTCCATCCCCATTCAGGCGGTCACCAGCTTTTAAAACATATATCTTTCTAGAGACATTTTCTGCAGATTTCAGTATTATTCCTACATTGCCTTTGGGGGGGGGCATCTACATTTTTCTAAGAGTAACTCCTTTCCGTTTTTTGCCATTGACAGTTTTCTTGTTAATATCTTTGTGTAAGCCACTTTTTTGTGCTTTGGGGAGTATGTTTCTAAAACCGAATTTATCTTGAATTCGTAGATATGACCCACTTTAAAACTCGCGTTAGGATCTGCCAGATCCGAGGGAGTCGTTTTCAAGCTTCCGTTATCGTTTTGTGTTAATTTGGCGCTTTCTCCTCGGTGTTCCCGCTGGTGCCCCAACCCCCACACCCCACCGCTACGAACCGCTTCAGCGAAAGCAGCGCGCAGAGGCCAAGAGAGCCGGGACGCGCGAATCAGTCCCTCAGGATCCCGTCATTGAAGGTCACGGCTGGAGAAATCAGATGACACTTGAGTCAGCGGATAACGATTCGGAACACAAAGAAGAGGAAAATGGATTTTCTAGGGATGATCCGTACCTGCCTGGCGTGGGTGCAGCTTGGGGAACTGCGGCCTTGGAGGAACCCTGGGCGTGAGCGCGCAAGGTTGGGGAGAAGCGGGGCTGGACGAACGGTCAGCCGTTTTTGTCCAAAGCGCGGGGGGGCTGGCGAGGCCTGGGGCAGCGTGGCTTCCCGGAAGGAGAAGAGTTGAGCTCATATCTGTGCGGCGTCCCTGGCTCGCGTGGACAACCCAGGCCGTGGCGCCCGGAGCTTCAGCTCTGGGTTATTGCGGCCTGGTCTGTGTTGAATTTCAGCTGGAAATTAAGCGAGCGATCGAACCTTCCTGTGGCCTGCCGCCACCCTTCCTTCCTCGGCATCTTCTTTTCTTGTCTTGCCTTTCAACCTGCTCTGCGGAAACGCCGCGAAGTTTCCACGGTCAGGGTGGAGCACATTGCGAGTGCGTAGATGGCAAACTGCTGTACCGGGGAAAACCATTCGATACCGTCCCTTCGGTCCAATCAGCATTTACCCAGAGCCTCCTCCCGGCACGGCTCAGGGAACCCAGAGGCCAGCAAGCTGCGAGATTCCGGAGCACATTCAGTGTCATCGGGGATATCGCCGGGGACATTCTGCGGCCCCAGCAAATGGGCGAAATGCGGGAATTCGAACACAAAGTGGGCGCCCTATAACGGGTTGTGTGGACCCAGCTCCATATTTTAAGGGAACACTTGACGGTTGTAGACATTCAAGCCCTGACAAGGAGCACAGCGGAGCATTTACGTTGCAGACGTGTGTGGAATCCACTCACAGCGACCAGTAACTTTGCATGTGCTTACTGGTGTGCTTTAAATATGCTGAAACGACACGGGTACACATTTGTGCTTCAAGAGCACAGCCACTTACTTTGTGTGAAAAAATTTAAAAGGGGATGATCCTGTGAAATGCCCCTTCCTCCCCTCTGCGCTCCCGCTGCCCTCTTGGCACGCACTCATTTGTGCAGTCTGCGGTGTGAACGTGGCTCTCCTCTCCCCGCAGCCTAATTGGACGTCGCTTGTGCAGACCCTCCGATGTGTGTGGAAGGCTGTGGCCTTGTATCTCTAAGTAGGGAACATCTTTTGTCTCTCGGCAAGAAGCTTTCCTCTGGGAGAGATAAAGTAATCGATAGGGTCTTTTAAATAGCTCCGCGTTTCCTGTCGGGAGAGGAGTATCAGCGCGCACACCAAATCTGCTCTGGTATGTCACCTTATCTCCCGTCCCCGCTGTTGTCCCCAAACGCCGCCTGTCAAGGGAGACGCCACCCGCATTAGGACCCAGACTGGGGCCCTTCCGCTCGGGGTCACACGCAGCGCCCTTGGCCAGGCCCTGCTGCCCCTGGGGGAGTGTGGGAGGATGAGGAGGGGAGGAGGGGGCCAGCACGAAAGTGCGGGGGTCCAGAACTCCCAACCCGGCTGGCCAAGAGGAAATACCGGGCTGAAATCGCTGTGTCTAGGGGAAGCCTTGGGATGCAAGACTCGCTTCGCCGGAGAGGGGACTTCTTTTCGTTTTTTTACCTAACCACGAATATAGTTGATCTGGGCTATAGGCTAGTGAGAGCAGGCGTCAGAGGCTATGGGCAAACTTGCTTGCTGGCATCTGGAGGAAAACCAGGTTTAGCATTTGAGGAGGGCTGTCTGGCCTCTGGGCGACTCTTGTCGGGTGGAGGAGCGAACTCCCGAGCCCTAAGGGCTGGAGAGACTACCAAATCCAGCCACCCACCTTGGGAACCTCTGGTGGCTTCACCTGCTCAGCCTGCAGCAAATAGGACTTGGAGCTGACTCCAGCCAGGCCCCAGGCCAGGGTGCAACCTGAGGCTGGTCTTCCAGCCTTAGTAAAGGCACTGTGGCCAACCTCAGTGGACCTGCCCCTGGTGGACCTCCCACAGGGATCTTCTGCAAGCCAGAGGTGCACAGAAATGTTTCTAGGTGTGGATGGACTCTGGACCTCCCTGCCACATCGAAGCACTGTTACCCACCTCTCCTCATTTTTCTCCTCCTATATTGTAGTTGGCTTTACCCAGCTTTAAAAACATTTTTTTAAAGAAAAATACTCTAAACAATACCAAAAAGCTTTCAACCCCCTCCTCCTCCTTACCCCGTAAGCATGCGCAAAACCACCAACCATCTGGATGAGGTGGGATTCAGCTTCCCTTTATTTCCAGCCTCACAATGACCCACAGGGATCCTTTCTCCTGGGAAGCTGGAGGGGGAAGAAAAAATTACTTCTTGGCTTCAGTACAGACTTGCTTCCTTCCAAGTTGCCCAGGATCATCTGGATTATTCCAACTGCTGAGAGAGGACCACCCACCAAAATGCATCTAGAGGAAAATGCAGGCCTTGGGAAAATTTGGGTTCTCATTGATCAGGGTTTATTTATCTAAGTAGGAACTCCTGTGGGGAAATTAAGTAGGGGAAAACATCACCTTTCTCCCTCACAGGGAGGGGGCAGCATTTCTGAATCTTCTTAGCCTTTAAGGCCCTGGTCTAGGCCTTCCTATTCCTTGTGAGCCTTTCCATATTATCTCAGCCTTGATTGAAAAAATACTGAATTTGATTATTATCCACACACACACAAAAAATGTTGGTGGCTGTGGAGGGGAGACTCTAGCTGTGTTTTCTGGCAGGACAGCTCACATGTACCATGTGCTGTGTTGAAACTAGCAAAGTGTGCATTAGACCCTGCCATGCCGCCTTTGAACCGATGGCTGGATGTCCCCTTTATCTCCTGGCCTTTGGTGTTGCAGTGCTGACCTAGTTATTCCGTCCTGGGTAGACCAGGAGCTAGCCCTCCATCACGGGGAGAGTTGCTTCTCCCATTCCTTCTGGACAGGGACCCTCATAGAGGGCTTCTTCTTAATGAACACTTTGGTCCTTTGTTTCTTTTCTTCGAACAAATGTATGGGGTGACGGATGGGGGAAGTTGGGGCATTTAGAATGAAAAACGGTTAGAATAGCCAAGGGAGGAAATCAGTATGGACCCCCAGTACCTTGCCCTCTCCCTCGATGTGGCAGTCCACTTCTAGGAGCTCTCTGCCCTCTTCCTAAGGGAAAGCTGTACTTCCTGTTCGTTAGAAGTGGCACCAGGTGGCTCTGGGGACAGGTCTCAATCAGTTACAGGATCCTGAGCTTGACAGTGACTCTGGGAGTTACTTGGGAGTAAGAAAGTGATAGACCCTGGGGTCACTTAAGCCCCTGACCCAGTCCAGCAGTGCACATAGTCCCCCTCACTGAACATTTCATTCCAGCAGAACAGGGAGGTGCACAAAATCAAAACGAACAACAGCCTGGTGAATTTTCACAGTCTGAACACAGCTGTGTAACCAGCGCTTGGTTCAAGAAGTGGAACATTAATGGACCTAGACGCCTCCTCCTTTCCCCCCAGGATAATCGCTATCCTGAGTTCGAACAGCACAGAATAGTTTTGCCTGTTTTTGAACTTCACATGTATCTAAGCGCACTGTCTGTAGACTCTTTGTGTCTGGCAACTTTCACTCAATATACGTTTGTGAGATTCGTCTGCATTGTTGATGGCTGTGGCTAGCTCCTTTTAACTTTTGTGTAACAGTGCATTGTATGGACATACAACTATAGTCCCTTTCTCTATTGAGGCACACTTGAATGGTTTCCAGCTTCTGATTGTTGGGAACAGTGAGTGCAACTATGAACACTTTAGTACGTGTCTTTTGGTGAACATATGCACACATTTTTACCGGGTATAAATCTGGGAGTGGAACTGCTGGGCCGCAGGGTACTCATAAATGCAGCGTCAGTAGATTCTACTCAGCAGTCTTCAGGTTTACAATTGTTGTGCCAACTTATACTCGTACTGGCAGCGTAGGAGGTTCACAGCTGTCCCACATCTTCACCAACGCTTAGTATTGTCAGTGTTTAGTTTTCAGCCATTCTGGTGGGAGCGTTGGGCTATCGCAGTGTGCTTTTACTTTGCCTTTCCCTGCTGAGTAATGAAATTGAGCACCTTTTCCAATGCTCATTGGCTTTTGAATATCCTCTTTTGTGAAGTGCCTGCTTAAATCTTTTGCCTTTTTCTTACTGATTTCTGGGAATTCTGTATATATTTGGATATGAGTCCCTTGTTAGATATATGCTTCGTTTGAGTATCATCTCCTAGTCGGTGGTTTGCTTTTTTACCCTCTCAGTGCCGGGGCGTCCACTGTTGGCTCCGGTCTAGCGACGTGTTTCTGACCTTGAGGTAGTAGCATGGCTAGTTTTTATATCTGGAGTGTCTCTGGCTGAGGTACCTTCTTGGGCTCTAGGCAACCAGTCCTTCTGCCCATGGTAAACGTACCTTGAAGACAGAAGCCGGGTCCAAGTCTGCTTGCTTTCCTCACAGGTGCTAGAGCATTGTCTTTTCTGAGAATATTTCAGTCATCTGTTAAAAAGGGGAAATCCCAATAGAAAGAAGCCTTTGGATCTGAAGGAGGAGCTGAATTCATGATCATATACCCTTTTTCATACATAGTGCTAGGTCAAATATCTACAGAGCAGTTTAAGCAGAAGAATTTATTTGTTTATTTAATTTATATTTTTTATTAACATTTTTAAATGTTTATTTTTGAGAGACAGAGAGACAGAGCACAAGTAGGGGAGAGGCAGAGAGAGGGAGGGAGAGAGAATCCCAAGCAGACTCCACACTGTCATCACAGAGCCGGACACAGGGCTCAAACTCACAAACTATGAGATCATGACCTGAGCCGGAATCAAGAGTCAGACGTTTAACTGACTGAGCCACGCAGGTGCCTCTAAGCAGAAGAATTTAAGTTCCAGTTCCGTGAGTTGTTCAAGCATAGTGTAAATGTTACAGTGCAGCTGAGACCTCCTACCCCCTTTTATAGTCCCAGCCCAGCCCTGCCTCCCCCAGGGGGTCTTTCCTGATTGCTGCAGTTCAGGAAGAGCCACTGACCTCTTAGAACATGAATGAAACAGGACTATAATTTTGTACATTCATTCTGGAAAGCAGTCTGGGAATCCTCACTTTTAGAATCTTTGCAATATATATAGTGAAAACAGCATATTATAATTATTTTAAATTATTTTCATTGTTTTCAAATGTCTGTAATCCACCTGTATTTTTCTTGTTTAAATCTATCACCTGCTTGCATCTTCCTGCTATTTACTGAGATCTTAATTTTGTCTTGTTGATTTCTCTGAGCTCTGTATATTAGTTAGTAACCCTTCATCATTTTATGCCATATACTTAAAAAAAATTTTTTTTTCCATTTTCCCACTTGTCTTCCTAAAATCTTCATTTGTATTTTTTGACATCTGATGATAATGTTTAAAGGAGATACTCAAACATTGTTGGGGTTTTGATACCCAGTTGGGACTGGCCATGGTTCAATGGCAGAGTGAAGGCTGGGCACGATAGTGGCTTCCCTGAGGCAGTGGGGATTCCAAAGGACAAAGGTCATTCCTACTCTGGCCAGTAGAGCGTGAAGGGCCCTAAGTAGCTGACATTAGAGACTGGCAGAAGTCAGAGCAGTGCCTTTCTTGACATTTCCATCCCAGGCCCTGGGGCTGGTAAAGATGGGATGGAGGTGAAGGGCAGGAGGAAATTTGCAGCAGGTAAACCAACAGAAAGAGGTGAGGAAAGAAGCATCATGGAATTTGGGCTGGGGGGATTTGGGGAGCACCCAGAGCAAAGAAAGGCATCAGAAATGATAGGCAGTGAGTCATGTGGACAATGATTTGGAGCATAGGCTCTGAAGTAGGCTGCTTGAACCTCAACGCCCTCATCTGTAAAATGGGGATGTAACTCCTGTTTCCTCAAAAGATTATTGTGTGGGAATGAAACAAGATAGTTGTAAACCGTATTTCCTGATGCTTAGCCATTCCTCCCATTGATAGGTGGGGTCCATGTATGTCCTCTCCCTTTGAATATGGGCAGGTTTGACACTGCTTTGACCAATACAACCAATAAATTAGGTACAGTGGCACCATGCGACTTCTGTGGCTAGGTCAGAAAAAGCCATGTAACTTCTTTTCTATTTGCCGGTGCATTTGCACTTGGAGCCATGAGCTACCATGTAAGAAGTCTGCCTACCCTGAGGCCACCAGGCGGTGAGGAAGCTCAAGCCACATGAAGAAGCCATGTGTGGGCACACTGGTTGAAAGTTGTAACTCAACCAGCCTTCTAGCCATTCCAGTTTAGATGCCAGACAGACCTGTGAGTGATGAAGCCTCTGGATGAATCCAGCACCCAGCGGGTCTACTTTTCACAGCTAAAGCCCCAGACTCCATAGAGCAAAGACAAACTATCCCTGCTGTGCCCTGTCCAGATTCCTGACCCACAGAATCAGTGAACATACCACT